CACAATATTCTTGAACAGACTGAAATGTATTATGTACATGTATGTACCTGCCTTGTGTGAGTCCTGTGCACGCCACTGCATTGGCAGTTCGATTTTACGACAAATAACCAATGGCCGGTGACTAAAACGAAAATTATCTCTTATCAGGGACATTATCGCAAATCACACTAGAGTCTATTCAAAAGTATCTGGAGACACGGTAGCCCCCGCAGTGTTCTCCAAGTCCAGTTATTATTTTGATGGAAAAAATAAAATACCCAAAAAACTTTAATTCAAAAGTATATTTCTGTTTTAATCCGATAATACAATATTTCCATCCCGATCGTAACATTGATTCATACATACACATACCTACAAATACAATGTTAGTGTACAACAACGTATGAATTGTTATAAAACGACAAAATATATTGTTTACAACTAAATAGTCTTTCAAACTTCGATTAAATTACGTTTGGGTGGCGAACTAAACGCCTAAATATACAAATTGGACTCACTAACGAAATAACACACAATATTAGCAGTTTTTTTTTAAATTTAATAGCTCGCAATTATACTACTTTAGGTGTTTGATTGTCCTTCTATATTTATTTAAAATAAGTAAATTACTTTATTATACTTTAATTTAAAATAGTGTCATTTAATTTCGTTAGTAATCCGTCCTAAAACTTTTACTGCCGTACTCAGTCATTTAATGACACTGCCTAGTCCCCAAGCGGTCTCCGGCGACCGCTCTCCACTTACTCAATTATAGACCTCAATATTCTATATTTAGAAACTACTTTTGTATACACAAATGTTGTGGATTTTTCATAGTCGTTGCTAAGAAATAGTTTAAATATTCATTAAATGACTTGAGTACGGGAGTTAGAGGTCTGCTCACTGCGACAACATGGCGACGGCGCTTTCATCACAAACGTACGAAAATATTCACAAAACATATTTCAAATCTGTTACACTACATCCCTGCGATATCACCACATTCGTCCAAGCGAAATAGGCCTCCTATGGCATTCGAACCACACATTTTTCGCGCTTGGCATCCGATTAAAACTATATTATACTCATTTAGATATCAAAAATCGTGAAAATACTAATTACAAGTGAATAAACGATTAATAATGTACATTTACAATGAATAAATAGGCTTACCTGCAAACTGGCACAATACTGTAATTAGACATGGGTGACTTGTCGGATACATACTCAAAATGAACAAGTAGGTACTGTGGCAAATACTTAATGACTATTTACCAATTTCTTGGAAAAATATTCGAGTAAAGAACGGATAAATACCGTATTTATTAATTTCGAGTATTTGTCCGGAAAATAGCCCACCTCTAATTGTTACAAAGTTGTGTACAAAACTGTAATACAAAGTTGTGAATGTATCATCAAAACTGTCTTCATTTTAGTTGTTTCTATACATAATTAAGTAACCGACAAAGCTTATCTTTAGATGTTTTACAGACTAAAGTTATTATACTCCTTTGTAACGTTATTAATATGACTTTAGTATTAAATTGGCTACTGCTACAGAATACAACTAAAAGCATTTAGAAACACAGGGCGATGAAAGACACCATTGATTATTTTTATCACCCTGAATAAAGCGTGTTTCATAAAACTTTAACAATACATTATACTCGATAGAACTCTGAAACCCGTCTATAAATTTTACGGCATAACAACAAGCAGTAACCCCTAGCATTACGAATCGGATGACCAAAAACGCGAAGTACCTAGTACAAAAAATATTATTTTTTTACAAATTAAGAGTGCGTTTCCACTGACAGTATTACACATGCAAATTAAAACTTTCTTGTATATCACACATTTTGACTAACGTAACAATCGAGATGTTAGTGAAAACGCACTTTAATTAGCTTTTAATAAAATAGTCTATACATATAGAACGCTGTAAGAATCAATTTGTACTCGTAGAGCCAACCACCCCGTGCCCGCGGGGAATTTTGAAACGTCTGTTCAATGATAAAAAAATATCTTTTACAGAATAATTTCTAAATATAATTCGACACGGAATTCTTTCGAAAATATATCTATCAACAATTCAACACACAAACAGTAAACCCTATCATTGCACTACCTATACATATAATTTCAAATGAATCACACACACTCACTCAAGAAAAAATAAATCATGTTTGTATTTCAATCTATTTTCGTTTTATAAACACTAAGTTAAACATATTTAGTACCACAGAGTATACTCTAATTACAAACTAACCAGGTTAAAGGCAAGAAATGTCAAAATGTTGCCTCCATACGCAATATATATATATCATTAGTATATATATTCGATAAATGAGCCAATCTGAGAAAATTAGCCTCTTATATGTAAATAGCTGATTAGACCATTAATTTATATAAACTAAATTAATTAAATTACACTCACATAAACCGTTCGAAGACTCTCGATAACCACAGTTATGAGACCCGGTCTGACTTGAAACTAGTCGAGTATTCTCGAAAAGTTTACGCGAGTAATTTTAATTAATTTAATAAGTTTCACAACAAGTATTATACTAAAAATTAAAACTAATTAAGTATTGAAATGTAAACTAGAATTTTTGACTGAAGAATGTATGCCAACGAATATGAAGTTGGTCAACTAAACTAACATTAAAACTAAATTTCGCGAAACAATACGTTGAGAATAAAAACCAAGAGACGATTAAAGCCATACAATTAAATTAAAGACGAAAGGAATGAGCAATTCAGAAAGATATGTAAATTGTATACTACATTTAAATTGATATTAGACAATTACAAACAATTCCTTTTCCACTTTTCCAGTTACTATTTTCCAGTCTTAGACAATAAAAGTTTATTTCTGATTAAAATTCGATCCAAGTAATGACTAGACAACATTCCCAAACATAAAAAATAGGATAAAACATAAAACATGATTATTTATTTTATGTGTTCGATTTTTGAAATATAGCTGCACCAAATATAACATTTTGAAAATAATTATATTTCAATGTATCGTCAAATCATTACTTCAACCTAGATTTACTGAGAGATCTTTTTGATATGAACTTAGTTTGCCACCTGTGGCACAAAAGTTCATTTTGAAGCTGTAAAAAGACCTGTGTAAAAGTCTAACATTATTTTAAATAGAGTATAAAAACAAAATAAAAGTATTTGAAGAAACACTGATGTCTTAAAAAGTACATTAAACTTTTTCTTTCAACCTGTTGTGTTATTGTTCACTAGGGTTGTCACGACGTAACGGTTGCCGCACGTGATTAATTTGGAAATCAAGGGGTGCTTGCTATGCAAAACTTTAGAGTCACGTGAATCAAAAAGTCTAAAAATTTTACGGTTTTCTTGGCAAATTGTTTCTGACAAACTGTAAAGTTAAAGGCAAGGTTTCGCAATAGATCGTGTTTTTCTCAAACTGTTACGTCTGAATCCGAATTCCCTATAATAGAGATGTGGATCAGTTTCCAAAATGCCATGTCTTTTTTGGGGCGACATGTGTGTTTTGTTCAGAACAGGGTATTATTAAACGTACAGAAGTCACCAACGTTAGTCTAATCAAAGTGAATAAGTAAATATATGGGGTTAACCGCCGTACGTACTTAGACCCATTTCATGGTACTTAACTTAGTACTTAGTGATAAATGTTTTAGAACAATATCGTAACTAAAGAATATTTTAAGAAATCATTAAACGTCTCTGAGTAAGACAATAGCATAGGCTTTGACATAATTTTTCTTAAATCAATCTTCAGCTCCCATTGATTTTCTTTTTCCTTTTATTCGACTAGCTAGAAAGAAAGGTAATTGCATTTTGACATTTTATTGAGATTAACTACCACACAATTGAAAATGATGGTAACACAATACCGCAAAAACGTAACCCATTTTTACCGCATAGAAAATACCTACACCATCAATTTAGGCGGTAACCTAAAGGTAAACAATTTTGGAACAACTTTTACATGAAAAATGAAATGAACACATAAAATAAAGTCATTCGAAAAGAACTTTAACGAACTGGGTTTAAAACTACTTTCCGGATGTGTTTATTTATCTTTAGCCCAATGTTCCATGTAAAAGTTGTGCAGAGATTGTTTAAATAATTTAAGAAAAGCAGACAGCCTTAGGAACAGTCATTGAAATATAAGAGACATAGACATTATATATTTTATTAACGCCTGAATACTGAATGGTTTCTCGAAATTCTAAGTCACGCTTAAGTACAGATCTGTCATTACAAATTCTTTATAAAATGACAAAGATGGCACGATATTTAAGTAGAACGTAGAATTGGGATGATGACAGGGTATGAAAATTAAAAATGTAATTAGTCCGTAAGTTAGATAATGAAAAAATATTAGACACGTATTTTGTCGTATAGTAAAACAATACTTAGATAAAACGAATCAAAGTTTAGGAGTGGGGGCTAAAACGTAATTTCTACGTATAAAATGTACATAGAAGTGACGTCACGCGACATGTCAAATCAATATATCGTCGAAAGTATTCGTTTCTGTAAGAAAATAAAAAATACGTGTCTAATGTTTTAAAATAATCTATCAGACGGACATTAAAATAAAAATTAGGCATCTACCCTATTGAATAGCCTCTCAGTATTCGGACGTATACGTATTTTATAGTTAAACCACGCTCTGCATGGTTACATAGATGTATATATTTCGGAATCACATTTTTAAATTTGAATATGACATAGTTTTAAATACACCTATACCGTGATACTTTCTAAATACATGCACTTTACATTATATTGTCGAAGTTCATCATGAATAAACCTTTGCGCATAATTCATTAATTTAGGCACAATATAAGTAGGTACCTCTACTTATAAATAATTTAGGCGATGTCTCATTCGATTTGAGAACAGACCTATTAATATCCAATTTTTAAATAAGTTTATCTTGAAGCGATTTTATCATAAACACGTAAAGAGTACTTTATTTCAAGCCCATGGTTGAAGTAGACGTCTTAGAATCAATCTATTTCGCCGGGGTGTAAATGCGACTTATCAACTAATGAATTTGAGAATGTATCTACCAGATCCTGTTGAGCCATGTCGCAGAGTCTCTCCGGTACGTCCTGCGTATCTTCGAGGTCGTTGATAGAGTTCACGGAATTTTGGTCGCTCAAAGACAAGCTAGTATCTGTGTCGTCACCATAGCAACGGCGTTTATGGTCTGAAGGAAAATTGTGGTAGGAATGTTCGACGCGAATCGCCTGCATTGTGTTGCTGCAAGAAAAATAACATATTATTGTTGACCAAATTATTCTAAGTCGGAATTGACTTTCGAACCCTCAACATTTGTATTTTAATTTATAGGTATCTCGTGTAAGTTATCTTATCGCTTTATATGGAAAACATAATAAATGATATTGACTATTGTATCAAGGCTAAAAGAAATTAATGCTAAAAGTATTCAAGTATCTAACATTACTGACACATTCTATTAACAAAAATCTAGGTCAAAATGGTATAGTATTTCTACTATTTCATAAATTTTACCTGTTCTACAAAGAGACGGGATAGTCACCTGGTTTTCCTCAGGACCGGCCGACCCATTTCCACTTGCAATTCCAAAGAATAGAGCTTAGCTAGTGACTCCAATTTCTCCTTTTCTTCAGGATCATTGAGACTTGGCAATTTCAATTCAGTTTGGCAAGAATCTTGCAGGAATTTCGAAAGCTGTTCGTTAGCAGCACTTAGAATTAAGAAACCTGGTCTTTCATCCCGTATCCTGCGACATCCAGCTCTGATTTCCCTCACTTCTGTCACTACAGCATTCCCCATTGAATGTTCACTGTAGTAGTGGTCGCTCTGTGGCGACTTCTCACTCAAATTCAAATCACTGGACGATGTTTTCTGTAGCGAAAAATTCGTGCGCGGCGTCTGGTTAAACGATTCATCCTGCTGAGCCGATTTCTCTTGAAAGGCCTGAAAGGACTGAAAAAACGACTCATTCGCGTTCTGACCAGACACACCAGCGTTTTTTATGTCACTAAAGCTGCTGAAAGAGGAATGCGGCTGAAGAATGTCTCTATTTTCTTTCGAGATAGGTTCGTCTTCTAAATCAACAACAGTTTTAGAATCAGACATCATTGCGTCGTCATCGTTCCCCGAATCCACTTTAGCTCTTTTCTTCTTGAACCTGTTCTTGCAACTAGCCCACCCACTTTTGACTAATAATTTTTCCTTTTTCAAACGTTTCGGTGGTGGCATGTTGCTGGCGGACTTTGGAGAATTATTGTTCACTGATTTAGAAGTTTTGAACGTAAGGCTTTTGTTAAAGACTTTCAGTTCTTCGATGCCGGGCCAGTCGGTGAGCTCATCGTCTCCTTCCCTATCACTGTCGTTGGTAACCACGCCATCTGAATCGCTACTACTCAGGGAGCTTGATTCATTCCCTGCACAATCCATTCCACTGTTGGAATCATCGAACATCAGCGGGTTTCTCAGGGAAGGTGGGTGTGATTTGTTCAACATTTTAAACTTTCTATGATATTTCCCGTCGAAACTGTTCTTTCCCGTACTAGTTGTAGGATTAAAGAAAGGCGGAAGATCTGTCGTTATTTTATACCCTGTCAGTTTTGATAATGTTGGAGTACCATTTTTGGAAGAATTTTTGTAAACAAAATTGAAACTGGAACTTCCCGGTAAAGATGGAGTGTTTGTGGGTGTGGTCGGTTTTGTACCTTCTGCATTCTGAGACTTGAGTATAATTTTGCCAGGCTGAAGCACTGGCTCCTTCTTAGGAATGTCTGTGTCATATTTCCTTGACTTAAAGTCGTTTTTCGAGAAGTAAGCAGACTTTGAAGAACATCCACCACTGAAGGATCTCTCTCTCATTTCGCATCCATCACCTTTATCCCGGTGCGACCATTTTCTTTTACCGCAGAAGGCGTTTCTGAAAAAGCAGCTATTAAGCCAACATAATGAAAATTAGTTACTGTTGTGACAATAGACGATTCAATGACATCTTTCCAAAACATTTTATACAAAATAAATACTATTGTGAGAGACTGAGAACTAATTTTTGCGGTGGGAGTAGGTTGGCACATTGTGTATATTATCATTGCCTTTTTGATTACCGCCAATCATTTAGTTGTAAACATTAATAATAAGAAATTGAAGTTGTCTTGAAGTCAAAGTGTAAAGTAAAAAACAATGAATAATCTAGTCATAGTTTGTATGAGGTATCATACAAGTAATATTCAGATACACAGAAATATCAATACAAAGTACTGAAGTTTACCTTTCAGGTTTAGTGAGAGTCTTGTGCTTGTTTACATGAATTGCCGGGGACAACACTTGGCTCTGGAGTATTATTGTAGCAGGTAGTGCATTGGGCTAAAAGATAAACAATAAATTGTAGACAATAAGTTTGAACATAGTTTATTATTAACTTGAAACTTATTTCTTTATTTATATCAATATTAACCCTTTAAGTACCGTCATTATAGACACAATTAAAGAACAATGAGTGTGCTGACATCGGTGTCCTCACGGTGTTTGGCAGTTTAAGGACTAATGATCTGACTTTTTTTTTGTATTTCATGCAGGTAAATTGCAGCTAGTAAAATTGGTTGTAGAATTACATATAATTGAGAATAAATACAGTTAAGTCATTGTTGTCATAATTTTCTGAGCATTTCCAATGCATGACTAAACTATTGGTTGGTTTACCATTAATTAAAGAAATTTTTATAAGGAAAATTCATTCCAGAATTTGTTTCATGCACTCAAAATTCCCCAACTCACCTCGGTAGTCACACTAAGAATCTCAACTGGTGGTGACCGTTTCCCATCAGTATACTCTACAGGCATCTTCTTATATTTGCGTTTCCTCCTAGCATTGGCTGGTCTTGTTGGGGAGAAGTTCTCATTGAAGGAATCGGACTCAAAATTTCCAATTTGACAATAGTGTCGGGATTTGAGGCTGGATTTGTGCAGGCTGAGGTGTGGGTCATCTGAGTCTGATAGTGGCTGTGTGATGAGAGGGGCCTGAGGCGGACTACTGGAGCTTCCATCTTCAACTAGGCTCACTGCCACTGCAGCTGCTGCAAATATTTGGTCAGTGTTAGTATAGCCTCTTGTTGGAAGGAAAAATTTTATGGTCAAGGAGAAAGCTACGACATGTAATGAGTTATAGAAATGATTCATAGAAGTTAATAACGCTAGGTATATTTATTTACCTAGAAATATAGTTAGTCCAAATCATTGGGAACATTATTTTCATAGATTATTTGTAGATTGCTTACCCATTTTGTTAGATAATTAGTAGTACAAGATGAAGTCATCACAATTTCTTAGCAAAATTTTTTAATGCAAGTTCAATAAGAAGTGTTATTAAAATTTTAAAGTGATTGTTTACATACAAAACTAAAAATAACTTCAAACTACCGAAACGAATGTTTTGTACAAACATCTCACAAAAGCAAACAATAAAACCTTGAATAAAAATTGCGAGTTACGTTCATACTTACGTAGGTTTCCGGCAGATCTGGTGCGTCGACGGAAGCCTAGCTTCCTCCGCTCCTGTCTGCCGCAGTTACTCTCCTCCAGAGCCAGGTTGAGGTCATGAGACAACCGCTCCATCGTCCCTAATGACCCTCACACAAACCCATATCGTGCCACTAAAATCTAGAACATACGATGCACCGGCTCACTTTGTTTACGCCACTTTGTCTCATACGACCTACTTCCCACCTATCCTTTAAATTCTTAGATTTAAAGACACTTTACGCTAAAACATCCGAAATAACACATTCAAAACAGTAACATTATCACAGGATCACAACAAAATTATTTCGCAAGTCCTTCCCCAAAACTAACGGAATGTTTATTTTTATTATCAATACATATGACCATTCAAAATACTTTCTACAATCGCAATAGATATAAAAGAGAATTTTATCAATTAAAATGATTAACTTCCACTTTCGTTTATCTGATTTTTACCGTACATGATTTTGACAAAAAATAATAAATATCACGACGACATTCACGACACTAGATGAATGAATGGAATAAAAATTTCATAAATCCACCACAGATAATATTTATGTTAGTGCTGTTGCTGGGTCTAACTTGATCATTCACCGGTCGTTTCGATGATTCCTATATCGAATAATACCATTGTAATAATAATCAATTAATTATCAAAATTTTATGCTACCTACTTTAGTAAATATTTTGCTTTCATTTAAATACTTGATGATTGATATTCAGTTTCATGCTTAAAATTCTAACTAGATCAGACACGGTTACCTAGAACTCGAACGTCAAATAAATAAAGTGTAACCGTTGTGCTGTGCTTGTCGGTTGTCAATTTTTGCGCCAATTTCATTTATTATTTTTATTTGATTATTTGCCTTTACTCTTCGTTTTTCACGTGAAAATTTTGCTTGGTTGCATCATTTTACTTTATTAGTGAAAGGTAATGTATGATACACCATTATACGCTTATTATTTTTGAGATCTACGCTTATCATTAGCGTCAGGTCCAACGCTATTTTGTTTTGTCGTTATTTTGTATAGAAATGAAGTAGATTCTAAAGTAAGAATTTGAATGGTCGCTTAATAACAGGTTTCATTTATTATACTGGTTGCAATCGTCGTGTTATTAGATTTGATCATGTTTTTCGTTTTAGAATGTGAAGGTATAATGAAAAGAATGCGTCACTTGAAATTGTTTATTTTTGTTATATTTTGCTTTATTATCGTTTGTACAAGGCATTTAGAACTTGATTCCGATACTGCATTGCAATTATACAGTCTAACTAACACAGATTGTTTGTATTATAGTGTATTTCATATGTAATTATAATTTCAATACGTTTTTCAGTTAAACACACTTATGCTTTAAATAAGCGTTAGCGTATTTAAACTGTCAAACACCAAGCGGTCACCGGTGACCGCAACCTATTGTTCTTTAATTGTGTCTATAAATACGGTACTCGACGAGTTAACGTGTTATACACAGTTTCATTTGCAGTAACAGTTCCTTATCTCTGTTCAAACAAATTAGTACACAAGTCATAACCTACCTCAATGTATTACGTGTTGACCAGTACTTAATAAAATTGCCACCTATTTAATTAATATTATAGCAGCAAATCAAACATATTATACTTTAATAGCTAATTAATAATAGACCTCAATAGGTAATTAATAATAGCTATTATTCTATTACCTCATTATTGCTTTATTATGGTTCTGTCTCAATTTATTTATTTCCTGTTATGGTTCTGGTGTCTTATGCTGTTGTGAAGAGTTGAATCTGTCCATATAGTGTCAACTCTTACATTACTAATCAGTTACTCATAGTAATAGTAACTCTTTTCACCAAGTTTGTGGTATTTGTGGAGATATTTTTTATGTGGTAGGTAATCAATTATTAAAATATAGTGTAACATTAAACTGTCAAACACCAAGCGGTCACCGGTGACCACAACCTATTGTTCTTTAATTGTGTCTATAAATACGGTACTTGACTAGTTAATACAGTAACAAGCTATTCACATTTGTTTCATATAACCATGCCACACACTAGAATTTTCTCTTGTGTTCTGCATGTGTTTACCGACAATCACATACAACAATTTGTGGGTATAATATGTGCGGTTAAAGGTCAAAAGTCCACTGCCACCATAAGACTATTATCGGTTGTGCTGCAGCTCTTATACACACATGCACATCCATATTTTTATCCGTGTGCGTAACAGCCAGTTGCCCAGCCAGTGCAGCAACTATGTAGACAAATACTTCAATTAACATCACTCCCTTTATCCCTTAAGGGGTAGGCAGAGGTGTACATATCACTATTTATGTTATCAGTCCCATGTAATACATGGGACTCATAACAGTGGGTGTTACATTATACAGTGGCATTAAGTGCCGTAATGTACACATCTGCCTACCCCTTCGCGGATTAAAGGCGTGATGTTATGTTATGTGTCCCATGTAATAGGAGGTGAGTCTATTGCCATATACCGGACACAATTCCAAACTACCTGCTACTACTGAAATTTATTCAAAAACCCAATAATACATTGCCCGACCCATGAATCGAACCCGAGACCCCTTGCCCGGCTGTCGCACTTGCGACCACTCGGCGAACGAGCAGTCTTCAATTGAATATTTATTTATACTTATTTGTTTGTTTCCAGCGCCAATGGAGGGCGCGGTGACACCAGACGGTCGGCGCACGCGCGCTGCCCTCGCCGAGATCCCCGTGCGACTGGATCGTCTCCGTGTTACTCCGTTGCAGCCCGTCACTAACATCAGAGAGCGGTCCCCTGCACTGCCTGCTGGGTACCTCAGCCCTGCAGCGTCGCCTGACGAACTGCTTATTCAGCAGAGAGGTACAACGAAAAATCTATATAATCCAAAAAAAACACCCCCTATTTACACAGAACTCTTAACATAACTAGTTAATAGGTATAAAGTGTTGTTATATTAAAAAAGCGCACCTCTCATCCTACCTAAAAATAATCCTCCTATAAAGAATCAACTTTTGAGACTTGCTGCTACAAGCTCGATAATACTGTCAAAGCTTAATAATACTTATGCCATACTCTGACCAGGAAATTGAACCCTAGGCCTCTTACACAGCACCCACATTAGCCACGAGGCAGCAGACTCTATTCATGGTTTTTAAACAAATAGGATGCCAATGTTTATCGACTTATAAAATAAAGTTAAGTTCTCGTCCCACTACACATGTCAAAAAAACGTACTTAAATGCTACGCTGCTCAGATCTGCGTTATGACAGGTCAAAGGTACAGAGTCAGACAGGACCAGGGTGCTTACTCTTGAAACCAATCTCAATGTCAAAGCAACTTCAATGCAATAAAATCTCAATAATTATTCAATGTGAAAACGATACAACCACAATCGTAGCTGTTAATATAGCATTTAGAGTACGGGATATAAAACCAAACTCAAAACCATTTAGTTCATTCAATATCCACGCAATACGGATGCAATGGGCGCTGGTGTTGCAACTCAAGAGTACGAAATTTCGCAATACCAAGGTCGATCTATCGGAATTGGATTCAAGAGTAAGCCACCTGAACTCCCGACATTGTTAAAGACAGAACTCGGTCGCATTCGTGAAATGTTTTGTAGATCTTTAACCTTTAACGGTAAACCATTAAGTAATAGAAAATCTAGTGATGAAATGTATAACATAGCGGACGTCTTGCGGCCTTAGCATTGTCGAGACTTCCAGCCCAGGTTCGTGCTGCAAAAATATTGTCAGGTCAGCTCAGTACCTGTCGTCTATTTCCATTCTCCCTTATCAGACGTAATGACGTCTGATAAGATCGATAATAATATGAAATAGAAAGGAGTTTGTGGTGAAATAACGCCACAAACTCCTTTCTCTTTCACATGATTTTTCAATTCACACCATCGATCCATCCGTTTTCTGTTAACTGGGTGCTGTCCATCCCTTCACGTTCAAATACAGCCTTCTTCTAATGTACCATAGGCTTTTTTTGTGTACCTACCTTAATTCTTGTTGTGTGTCGTGGCAAAATAAATGGTTTTTCTTTCTTTCTTTCTAATAATTTCTTATTTTATCCTTTCTTGTCATCCAACAGTCAATCATAACATTTTTATGTCTGCCACAGGTACTCATCTTTCATTCATCTTTTTCATAACCTAGCATTGAAATTCACACAAGCATAATTATTTAATTACATTATAACTAAAATTATAAAATAACAAATTTATCTTCCAGGCCGCAAACGTCTCCCAGTGACATGGTCGCCAGACATCGATCTGAAGCGTAACTCATTCCACTCCACCGTACGCACACCACCAAAGGACAACCATTTATCTCCTCACAAATTGGGCGTCACCCTTCGTTCGACACCTCGCAAGCGTCTCCTACTCGACACTGAGCGCATACCTCTGACTCCCGAAAAAATTGACTTCAGCGACATCAGCACCCCCCAAAAATTTAAAATTACCAGTCCCATTAAAAGTACACCGCCCATTAAGAGATGTAGGCTCGATAGATCATTGAACACCGAATACAAAGGCCCCATCGATGCCGCCCTCAAAGGTTTGAGTCCCACTCAACTCATTCACATGATCAAGACCATTACATACAAGCATCCGGAAATTGAACAGGAGATTAGGAATGACATGCCAGTACCTGATCTGTCACCTCTTGAGGAGCGCCTGAGTTACTTGAAGAGTAACATCTTCAAAAGTCTGCCTACCTCCCGGCTTACTTCTAAAACTGATTCCCCCGCGTACTCCAGGGTCGCCACTCATTTGGCGGCGTTCAAAAAGTGCGTTGTTGAACAGGGTAAGGTCTTGGTCGAGTCTCAGCATTGGGAGTCAGTGCTACAGTATGTTTTCTTGGCATGGAGCTATGTAAAAGCTACACCTTTATGGGACAACCAGCCACATAATGCTCAAAGAAAACAATGCTTCAGAGCCCTCACAACTTATTGCATGACTGCCCTGAAAAAGGGTAACTTACAAAAAGATGTGCTGGCTGATGTTCAAGATAAGCTCGAAGGAATGGTGGCGGACAGTGAGGAAATAGCGTCTTGTTTGAAACAGGTGCAAGGTCAGTTACAAGAATTTTAGTAATACTAATCTTAATCGTATTTAGCTTGTTCTAAGATTGAGCATATTGTGACAGATTCTATAATTGTTATTTGATTAATTGTTAAAAGACTGAAAATGCTATCTACACCGATCAATAAGAATAAAATTCTACAAATTGAAAAGGTTATTAAAAATTGAAAAAGTATTGTATTACAAAATAATTGATGTGGCATTTCTTTGTAATTTATTATATTTTCTTTTCTTCCTGTATAATAATTTCTTTTTTCCTAGTTATGACATACAATTATGGAATCTGATTTATTTCTTTTAGTTAATTGATACCTCAACTTAGATTGTAGAATCAATATTTTTTATCTTCTTTTTGTTAGCTTAATCTACATTTTCTATAAGTTATTCACATGTTTTACAAACTATGATTTTAAAAACATAAACTTAATTGGTTAATAAAATATGTACTACCACTAGAACAGCAGCTATCAAAGCTGAATTATCATTTCACTGTAATGAAATTTCATACTATTGCTGAATCAAAACTATAATTTTAATTGTTTATTTTTATATTTGATGTGTTGCCAGTAAATAAATTTATGCCTTCATTGCATTTAAATAATGATATTTTTTTTATCAAATGTTTTTTCTTCATGTTTTTGTGTTTTTAAATATTTAGAATAAGTGTGACGACTTTGGTACTCTTGAAAGGAATCAAAAAGTATTTTTTAAGTAAAATATATTCGTCTTCCATATTTTTATGGACTCAATGTTTTGATTCTTTTCAATGTAGCTGTGACAATGCCAAAGTTTACTTGCTATAAGTAGTATTTGATAGTTTTACCTTCTGTAATATTTTGTCATTACTTTAAAATTCAGTTTCTATAATCTACTAATGAAAATGCCTTAAAATTGTCATTTGAATAGTCTGTTTCATTGGTTTTAATAAAAAAAAGTATTTCGGACGCCACTACAACATTATATTTGTTCAGTTGGACATACGTTTTAGAATACAAGAAGTAGATAATACTTATAACAATGTTATTAGAGAATTTACTACAGTGTAGTCCGTTTAGTACGACTTCGCATATAACAACCAACCGTTTTTAGCGACGTGAGTGTAGACGATTGTTTGGTTTTCATATGAGCCTTTATGAAAGTACATCCGTTTATTACGACTCCGCTTACAGCGACCGACCGCTTTTAACGACGGTATATCACATAAAATTATCCGGTTACAACGACGATGAGCGTTGACGTGTTTACAAATAAATCGTAGGTATGAAACTATCTCCGCTTGACACCCCCCCTTGCTTGCACGTCAGTGATTCGTGTGTGACCGTTTAGTTCTCAGCGTTAATTAGCGGGTGATGCGTAGTTTGGCGTACAAAAATGGCTTCTATAAAACGAAAAAGTTTCTCTGTTGAAGAAAAAAGTGTTATAATACAACGTTTAGAAGCTGGCGAGTCGAATGCAACGATTGCGAAGGAATTCGGTAAATCATTCGACAATATCAACAATTAAGAAAAATAAACACAAAATAGAACCTTTGTTCAATGCGAATGTTTTAAAACCTAAACGTGTGAGGTTATCGTCTCAAGAACAAGTGGACTCGGCACTTTTACAATGGTTTAAGCTGCAGCGTAATCGTGGAATACCCGTAAATGGGCCTATGCTTCAACAAAAAGCTACTTTTTTCGCTAAAGAGCTAAAGATTCTGAATTTTGATTGTTCGGCGAGTTGGATTAACCGTTTCAAGAAGAGACACAATATTGTTGCCGGAAAAATTGCTGGTGAGTCTTTGTCGGTTGAACAGAGCGATGTAACAGAGTGGCTAAGCAAAGTTTGGCCTAATTTGCGGAAAAAATTTAGTGACGATGAAATATTTAACGCAGATGAAACAGGATTATTCTTTAAATTAACGCCAGATAAAACATTAAAATTTAGAGGCGAAAAATGCTCAGGAGGAAAACTTTCGAAAGACAGAATAACTGTGATGGTTGCAGCTAACATGAGTGGCACGATAAAAAAGAAGTTGTTAATTATTGGCAAGTCAAAGAACCCACGATGTTTCAAAAATGTACGATCTCTCCCGGTAATTATGAAAGCAATCACAAAGCCTGGATGACATCTGATATTTTTATCAAATGGGTACGCGACTGGGATCGTGAACTGACTAAAAAGAATAAAAAGATCCTGCTTCTAGTTGACAATTGTCCAGCTCATCCCCAGATCAGCGATTTGAGAAGCATAACTCTATTTTTTCTGCCACCGAACACAACATCTGTATTACAACCTATGGACCAAGGAATAATTCGAGTGTTAAAATCAAACTTTCGTAAAAACCTGGTTCTAAAAATTATCGCTAATCTTGATGCAAATGAAAACACCAGCAGTGCCAAACATCCGAAGATCACAATACTGGATGCTATTCTAATGATTTACGACGCATGGAATAAGCTTACATCAGCGACGATTTTCAACTGTTATAGACACGCTGGATTTGTCCAAGACAGTCTCAGTGTTGTTTCCGCCAGCGATGACGATGATGATTTGCCGCTGTCTATCTGGGCGAGAGCGTTGGATAAAGGACTTCCCATGGGAAATGAAGAACTTGAACAATATTCTGCTATTGATGATGATCTCGCAACTTGTGAGGAGCCGACTGACGAAAATATTCTACAAAGTGTTATCGACAACGGTCAAGATAGCGACGATAATGACGACGACGGCCTGGAAGAAAATTGTACCACTCCGATTTTATCTGAAGCTCTAAAAGCTGCAGAAGTGCTGAATGTGTTTGTGCATTCTAATTTTGAAGATGACAATATGAAAAAAATGATGTCTTGTTTGCATAACCGAATCCGTACTTCTTACTATAGAAATAAAAGCCAAAAAAATCAAAAATTACAGACTTTTTGCACTAGATATTTTGTCATTTGTTATGTAGATTATATTAGAGATGTACATCATGTACGCGCACGGTTATTTTGCTATCCTACCTTAGACATTGAAGTACATTTTTGAATTAATGTTACTTTTATTTTCATTACAATAATACATTATGTGAAATACATACATATGTAAAAAAATACATATTTTGATTCAAATGTTTTTTTTTTGTTTATTTTGGTCACTTCCTTTAGTACGACTTCCGGTTAGTACGACCTAATATCACCGGTCCCTTCGCCGTCGTTATAACCGGATTCTACTGTAATGACTGGTGAATGAAGCAGAAAATCTATTATATTAATCTTTAGCTGTCATAGATTACTTGATCAGCAGTTTATCTACGTCTTGTATTTTAAAACTTTTATATCTGATTGTATTAACAAAATTTGATCGATTCTAAGGCGTAGACGAGTTTGTTAAAGTTTATAGTAATCGAAACGGGACCGCGTTCAGCATTCGGATTGGTTGGTTCATTGGAACCGGCCAATCAGAGCAACGAACGCAATCTCTAAGGCCTCTGATTGGTTGGTTCATTGCAGCCAGCCTAGCCAAGCCCTCTGATTGGCCTGCTCCAATGAACCAACCAATCCGAAAGTCAAACGCGATAACGTTTCAATCTCGTTAATGTAAAACAAACTGATACTTGGTCCTGTGGTGTATGTACAGTTCAATAGATATGCGCTGCAAGGTGGAGGTCGGGAGAGAAAGAACAAGAGTAATAAATTAATTGAAAAAAAAACATCTTACTCGTGTGAACTATTCAAGAAAAGGTCTACTAATTTCAAGTGACGTCTGAATGCATATTCATGAATACAGTACGTGGAATCTGTCTCGAATATTCACGTGAAAAATGTCGCAATTTTCAATTAATTTACGACCTAATGAACGACTGAGAGGCTACTCTAGTTCATGTATAGTTCTGTCACTACAAATTCTTTATAAAATGACAGAGATGGCACGATATTTAAAGTACAACTTAAAACTGAGTAGTCTTTCAGTATTCGGTTAATGGCCAGGTTCAATAATACGCCTGGGAGCAAAGTAACGGAGCCGTTTTTACTTTTTCATTTCTAGATAAATATTATCTGATACAAGTATTTTATTAATTGGTACCGTTTGACGTATTAAAGGCAATTTAGTTGTCTTTGAAATGCGAGCACTGTTGTTAAAGAATAAATTTTATAGAGTTACAGAGGGTTCGAAAAGATAAAAGAACTAACTAGTGGCTCCGTTTTTTGCTCCCAAGTGTGTTATGATAGATATTTCTACTAGAAATATGAAATGTCATTGTGTAAACGGTATTTCTTTATTCTCTAGTAGTCAAATCTACCGATTAGGTTATCGAAATAGGTCGTTAACCTATAATAAGCAGTTTAAAATTTGATGTAACAGAAAGCTATTCTAAAAACTATAAACATAAGTGACATCTGACATTGTAATATTGGCAATACACACTAGAATATTAAACATGAAATAACTAAAAATTTATGTTCACACGCCCGTCAAGTAACTCTACGCCGCCAATTTAATTTACGACGGTAATCAAGAACAGCTAGGTCGTTCTGTACCTTTCGCAGTGAACTTGATCGCGGTCCGCCATGCATTACTTGTGAAAATAATCTCGACCCATGACGGGGGAGAATGCGATTGAGCTCACTTCGAAATTTCGAATTGATAGTTAAGGAGGCCATACACGCTAGGTTTTGCATGATGGTTTTAGCCGTGCATGCATAACCGACAGGCAAGCCCTAGCGTGTATGTGATTAAACTGTACAGTTATCAGTGCATCGGTACTCGGTTATGCTTGTCGGTTTTGCGTGCACAGTTATAACCATCATGCATAACCTAGCGTGTATGGCCTCCTTTACAGAGGCCTCAGTACCAGGTCATTCATTCACTCGTAATAAGGCCTCAGAATAGCCTAGCAGATCTCCTTCTAATTCTTTGGATTATATTGACTTTTAAGAATAGTTTGTGATTGTATGGAAGTCCTTGTCAAAAGCCAAGATCCATCCAGATATTTTGGATTAAAAGGTCGATTATTAATTTCCGGCGTTAATCGATTTTGACATTTATAC